TGTAGGTGTGGCCTGCTTTCCGGGTCCACTGGTGGAACCTCTTCTAACTGGTTCGGTAGATTTGATGAACCGGTTCTACCGAATAGGTGCAAACTTGTAGGAACCCACCTCTGGTCTTCATTCTACTGACCTCAGAAGGATGGAAGGCTGAGTCACCCTTGAGTCTTGTTAGATTTGAACTGCCAAATTGCTGTCAGCTGGCAATCAGCAGAAGGTAGCCTGTAGTACTGCACCCTAACCACTGTGCCACCGTGGTTCACCATTTAACTCCTCCTTTTAACCATTTAGTTGAGCTCTCAGTTGAGAGCTTTTAGCTTAGAAAACTCCATGTTTGTTTCTCCTGGCATGGGGGCAGCACATCTCCAAATCCTATCATAGAGGCAGTCTTAACCATCTCCTGCTTGAGACCACCCTAGAGGTATGGTTGGACCAGTAGTGAAATTCATTTTTTTTTAAACCGGTTCTGTGGACGTGGCTTAGTGGGGATGGCAGTGGATGGATACTGCAAAATCCCCATTCCTACCCCACTCTGGAGCCAGCCAGAGATGGTATTTTCCGGTTCTTCAAACTACTCAAAATTTCCATTACCGGTTCTCCAAAACTTGTCAGAACCTGCTGAATTTCACCCCTGGGTTGGACAGTGTGAAAAGCAAAATGCTGAACAAAGGTTGACATTGGTCTGTTGCAGAAGGGATATGCTTATCTCCTTAGAGCAATGGGAGTGATAGTAAAATATTTTCCTACTCTCCATCTTCACTATTCTTCATTAAAATAAGTCTATAAATATACTCTATATATAAAGTATTAACCATAAAAGCAGAGAGTGGGAACACAAAATACTTATAAACCTTCTATTGTGCCCCCCCTTTAAATGCAATACTGATGAAATTTGACATTCTAATTATTGCTATGAGCAATTCCTATGATGTAACAGAAGGATTCTAAAACCTTTCCCCATCTTCCCTTATCCACTGCTGATTTTAGACATCACAAACAATCATTGTGGAACATGCTGATAGTTTGTGTGATCCCCTTCCTTTCTCCTTCACCCTTGCTGTCATGAATCCCCATTTCTTTTTTATGTCTTTCTGGAATTGTAAAAAGCCGTTCTTTCCAAATCAGAACTAAACCTTGTTAGCATTAATCCTGTGGCTGGTTTTGCATGAAATTTCAGAATGATATTACTGAAATCTCTACCAATTTCACTTATTTCCCAAGATTTCAGACAAATGCATGGTTCCCGCCCTTCCATTTGTATAAAGGTACCAAAAAACTCTTAAAAGATTGCCAATCTGCTAGCATCTTCTACACAGGACTCATCCATATAATTGCTTTGCTGTACTTTTCTCCCAGTCAAAGCCAGGAAGTACATAAAAAATTGTTTGCATTAGTCAAATGGCTGCTATGTTATTCATTCACTTTGAACAACTTCAGAATGATTAGTGCCAGAATCCATGCTCATATAGATTGTGGTTGTCAAATGTAATGGAGCTTCCTACTTTGCCAAAACACAATAAATCCTGAAAAGTCAAAATACTTTTCTTGAGGCCAAACTTACTTTTGCCTTTTTTTTTGGTCTTCCACTAATGATGAGGGGGTGGTACTCTGGTGCTTTCTCCTCATACTTCCCCTGGCTGTCTCGGTGAGGATTAAACAACATTGATAGGTAAAATCTCCTAGAGCACAGGTGTCAAACTCAAGGCTTGGGGGGCAGATCTGGTCCATGGGGTGTTTAGGTCAGGCCCGTGGGGTCACCCTGGAACAGAGGTGGGTTCCTACCAATTCGCACTTATTCGGTAGAACCGGTTCATCAAATCTACCTAACCGGTTAGAAGAGGTTCCACCAGTGGCCCCCGAAAGCAGGCCNCTGGCAGCTCTGCGCATGCGCACCCTAGGAACAGGCTCCAGCTGTTCTTCTGCCCCACTGATGTCTGACTCCGAAGGCAGCTGATAACTGCTAGACGGCTCTGGCCCACTCTCTGCCTCTGACGCAGAGCCCTCATCGGAGCCTCCTCTAGACTCCAGGACTGGCCCATTTTCAGGGGTGAAATCCTCCTGGTTCGGCCAAACTGCTAGGGACAGTTGCTCCTGGTTCTGTGAACCGGTAGTAAAAAAATAAAATAAAAAGCTGTGAGCTGGGCGATTGTGGGAAGCTCTCTCTTTTTTCTTTTTAAAGCATTTTTTCCTTGCCTATTCACCTGAACCAGCAGGGGGAAAAATGCTTTAAAAAGTGAAAGAAAGTTGGCCACACCCACCCAGTCACATGACACACATACACCCCGCCAAGCCACGCCCACAGAATCGGTGGGCAAAAAAAAAATATATTTTTCACCACTGCCCATGTCCCCCACACATCCTCCTCATGTCCGGGTCTGCCGCCAGATCCATTGGCGGGCCATAAAAGCATAGGGCCATGATGGTGAACCTATGGCAGACAAGCAGTGGTGGGTTACAGGCGGTACGCCCTGGTACGGGTGTACCGGAGCCTGCCCGGAGTACCGGGAACCGTTCCGGTATGGTGCTCCGGAGGGCCCGCCCGTCCACCCACCCGAGCTCCTTACCTGTCCTTTAAGCTCTTTGGTGCTTATGCGCTTGGTGCATACAGCGCATGTGCAATGCTCCGCCAAGCAGCTGGAGCGCCGCACAGGCATTGCTGGCCGGTGAGACACATCCACACGCTGCATGGACCGGTTGCAACAGGATCTGGAACCCACCACTGCACAGGGGCCACAGGTGGTACCTGGAGCCTTTTCTGAGGGCATGTTAGGCGTTGTCCTGTCAGCTCTGCCTTGATTTTTGTCTGTTTTTTGTCCTCCGAAGGCTTCCCTGAAGCCTCCAGAGGGCAAAAAATGGCCCAACGCGCAAACTGGAAGTTCAGGAACAGATTTCTGGTTTGCATGTTGGTCCGTTTTTCGCCTTCCCTGGGCTCTTAGAAAGTCTCTGCATCCTGGGGAGGGCGAAAAACAGATCTACCGGGCCCACCGGAAGTTGGAAAACGGGTCTCTGTAGAGCCTCCTGGGGCGGTGGGGGAGACCATTTTCACCCTCCCAAGGCTCCAAGAAAGCCATTCCCGCATGCGTGGGGCAGCATGGGGGGGGAGGCGCAGCAGGGGGATTAAATGATGGGTGAAGGAGGGCACGCAAGTGCGCGCAATCGCTTTCGTGCGCATGCTTTTGGCACTTGAGGCGAAAAAGGTTCGCTATCCCTGGCCTAGGGCTTCCGTTCTGGATATCTCCGGTCGCTACAGGACCCCCCATCCTGCCAGGGCTGCCATATTGAACCTTTCCTTTGTCTCTTTTCTTCTTCTCCTCTCCCAGGTGTCTCTGAACGAAAAGCGGAAGATGTTAGCCAGCCAGCATGAAGACGCCCGTGAGTTGAAGGAAAACCTGGACCGGCGAGAACGAGTGGTCTTGGACATCCTGTGCAGCTACCTCTCGGAGGATCAGCTCCAGGATTACCAGCACTTTGTGAAGATGAAATCGGGGCTGCTTATAGAACAGCGGGAGCTCGACGACAAGATCAAACTCGGGCAGGAACAACTGAAGTGCCTCTTGGAGAGCCTCCCCACGGAATTCTTCCTCGAGAGCAAAATGGCCGCCGAGCCTCCCGCCATCCCGAGGACCAACTCCGAGAACAGATCTACCCCGTCTTTCCTCTGACCTCCTCCCGATGAAGCTCACCTTAAAACGAACAAACACCTGGCATTTATTTAATCAGAGACAAAAAAGGGTTTAACTTTCGAAATCGGAGGCGGATTTTCTTTTTGTGTTTTTCCTCTTTCTAATGAACGTAGGGAACTCAAACCAGCCATGAAGACTCGACGTTCCCTTTTTGTTGTTGTTGTTGTTGTCCCCGCCAAAGGCGCTTTTTCAAAAAGGCCACTGGATTTTGTTTTTGTTTTTTCCTGAAGAGGTTTCGCTTCTCCTCCAAGGAGCTTCTTCAGTTCTGACTCAAGAAGCTGCTTGGATGAGAAGCGAAATGTCTTCGAGGAAAAACAACGTCCAGCTGCCTTTTTGAAAAAAAAGCACCTTTGGGACAACCATGATCTGGATGATTGAGAAGATCCATAGATACTTTTACATTATTTTTTCCCTTCTATCTGCAATCACAGCAAATCTATCTGGAGCCCACGAGAAAGGACTGTCTTCTAATGGGTTCAAAATGATCCAGGAAGGAATGCCTTGTGACCTAGGAAGGACATTCACTTCCGACCGTTCTGAGTTCAAGTCGTGCCCTTTAAGGGGAGCGACCCTCTCCGAGCTCCAGATTAAATTATGAAGGATCTACAATATTGAAGCCTTAATTAAAATATCAGATGAGCTCCCTGCTGTGTCTTGAACAATATTTATATTTTTTAAAGCTATACGAGACGGAATTCTGTAAAGTTTTGTACATACACGCTACATTACTAACCGGTTGTTTGGATTCTACTTCAACAATGCGGGGGGGGGGGTTGGTTTTAATTTTTAATTCGTGTGTGTGTGTTTGTGTGTGCGCGCGCGGGCGCTTAACAGCAACAAAAAGAAGCACCTCCCCCACCCCCACATAGGGGAGGGAGGAGCAACACCAGAGTTTGGAGCAGCTGTGTGGATGACTCTTAAAAGAACAGACCGAAAAAGCATTGGGATTCCTCGTGTGCACAACTATTGACACGCAATGAGTTTACCTTTGTGCTGATCGGCTCAAAAATGGGACGCCGATGCAGTTCTACGTTGGCAAAAGGAAAGAAGTTGGAAGCTCTCGGTTTTACGGTGGATGAGGAATCCTCCATTTTGGCGTCGTGGGCCAGGAGTTACACGCTTACAAACATGAGAACTAACTTCCAGGTTCTGCAGATCCGTTCACGCTTCTCTGCACAGCCTGGTGCGCAGGGGAGGCCTCTCTGCCCATTTTTCTCCTTCCCCCCTCTATGCTCAGCAGGATCCCATGAGGTTGGTGATCAAGATGCATATGCCTAGAGTGTCTCTCCGCCTACCATGCGCCAGGCAGGCGGGGCGGATGAGGCGNTGGCCCCAGAGTGGGGTGGGAATGGAGATTTTGCAGTATCCTTCCCCTGCCAAGCCCACCAAGCCACGCCCACAGAACCGGTAGTAAAAGAAATTAAATTTCACCACTTTCACACAAGTCTCTTTTTCGGAGAGGGTGGTTTTCCAAAATTTGAGGATCTGTGTCTTAAATCTTAAGTAGGGTCTGAGTCAGCCTTTGGCACACACCCTACTTGGAGAAAACCGAGCCCTGATCCTTGAAGCAATTTAATATTCAACTAACTAATGTTTGTCGGGGTTCCAAGTAACACACACACCCCAAACGAAAGAAGACTCCCAGGCTTGACGTTCCTCAAAGTTCCATTTTATTAGAGATGTCATATTGGCATATCTGGGGAAACCTGAATCTGAAAGCTTCCAGATTTTCCCCACCCAAGTGAAAGTTGCCCTCACCCATATCTCCATCACATGGTCTAATCAAGCACCGTCCCAATTGGAGATGCCTCCCAGTCACACCCTTCCAGGCGCAGGGCAAGGTGTCCTTGACTCTCTGAGAAAGGAATGTTATTTTGACTATATATCTGTACGCCATATAATCCCCCCCCTCCCGTTTTCTCACAGCAGTGAATGTGGCAGGCCTGGAGGCCCAATGCAAAAGATGGACCCTGTTCATGGACTACAAGATGAAGGGCACCACACATACCAGGGAAAGTCACGTTATTTTGCAAAGGTTTTCCATGCTAAAAAAAAAAAAATGTTTTCCAATAAATAACCACTTAAGTCCCGATCTTGAATTCTAGTCACCTCAGAAATTAATTCTTTGCAAAGAGGAAAATCAACCATCTTCACACCGTGATAAGCCTCTGCAGGCATGAAAAGGTTTGTGATTGATTCTGAAATCACCGAAGCTTTTATGTTTGCAAAGTTGAAGGACCTTCAGACTTTAAAGCAGAGGCCTTCAAGCTTGGCAACTTTAAGACTTGTGGACTTCAACTCCCAGAATTCTTCTCCAGCCAGCTGGAGAATTCTGGGAGTTGAAGTCCACAAGCCAGCTGGAGAATTCTGGGAGTTGAAGTCCACAAGTCTTGAAAGTTGCCAAGTTTGAAGGTCTCTGCTTCAGAGTTTCATCAACCTCCATAGACCATTTCAAACCGAGATGTTTGCTGCTATTTCAGAGTTATCCCCGGGGTGATGCATGTGACAGTTTAAAATGAGATAGCATGAGAAAAAAAAATGTGTCTTCATTATCATGAATCTCCCCTTGTTGGTACAGAATGTTCTGGAATGATGATGTCTCTTTTTTAAAAAATAATAATAATGTTTGTGCACAAAATGAGTGAGGGCCACGTTTTGTAGCCAACCAATCAGATTTGCCAACACAAGTAGCCCTCGACTTTACAACCAGTTCGTTTAGTGACCAAAGGAACGACGGCACTGGGGGAAAGTTACTTACGACCACGTTTCACACTTACGACTGTGGTAGCATTCCCCGTGGCCACGTGATTTATATTGGCAACTGACTCACGATTATGACAGTTGCGGTGACCCAAGCTCGTGGGATCCCCCTTTTTGTGACGTTCCTGACAAGGAAAGTCAAATGAGGAGGCCAGATTCACTTAACAACCAGGTGACTAACAATTGCAGTGATTCGCTTAGCAACTGCTAAGGCAAGAAAGGTAAGACGGGGGCAAAAGTCACTGAAGACATTTCTCAGCCACATAAATTTTAGGTTCGGTTGTGGTCGTATGTAGAGGACTACCTATACAGGTGGTCCTCGACTTACAACCAACATGGAAACCAGACTGTCCCTCACTAAACAAGGCGGTTGTTAAATGAATTGTGCCCTATTCTACCAACCTCTTGCCCTAGCTCTTAAGCGAATCACTGCAGCTGTTAAGTCAGTGTTTCTCAACCTTGGCAACTTGAAGATGTCCGGACTTCAACTCCCAGAATTCCCCAGCGCTGGCTGGGGAATTCTGGGAGTTGAAGTCCGGACATCTTCAAGTTGCCAAGGTTGAGAAACACTGTGTTAAGTGAATGTGATTGTTAAATGAGTCTGTGACTTTTTCTTGTTTGGAAGCCAGCTGGGAAGGTTGCAAATGGCAATCACAAGAGCCTGCAATCCTCGTAAATACACGGGGTGCACAATTATTAGGCAAGTTGTATGCTTGAGGACTTGTTTTATTATTGAGCCACTTCAGGGCTCTCAGGCATTCCAAAAATGTGAACAAACCCCATACCTGAATATTTAAGAAAGTAAAAAGTGAGGTTTTGGCTTTCTTAGGAGAATATGCGTGTACAATTATTGGGCAACTCTTAGTATGCTGAGATGGCACAGTGGTTAGGGTGCAGTACTGCAGGCCACTTCAGTTGACTGTTATCTGCAGTTCAGCGGTTCTAATCTCACCGGCTCAAGGTTGACTCANCCCCCCCCCCCCATTGAACCTTCGCCGAAGGTACCCATAAGGGACTCGGGAATGTTTTTTTTGCACAGCAAAACACTGTCTTCCAAAACTGTGGTGTGAGACCCAACCCAACACAGCACTTGTGCGAACCATACAACTCAGGAGTCGGCACGACACAGAAGCTTCTTCCTACATTTTCCCGCGTGACTTTTAAAAAAAACAAAACAATAAAAGTCGTAACACGCGCCCACCTGCAAAGGGTCGGAGAATTTCTCGAGGTGTTTTTTTAAAAAACTTTTTTCCTCCAAATCTCTCTCTCTATTTATAGTTTTATTTTTTTTAAAGAACAGAACAAAACCGTTGTTTTTAAACACCTAACCTCTTTGGCTTCAGCTGCCCGTAAAAAACGATCCAAAACTAAGATAACGTAGCACAAGCGTTGGACGGATGAAGTTGACAGTCACACAGCCAACGGGATTTCCTCCCCCCACCCCCCCACCCCCACTTCTTCTTCTTAGTTCAATCCGAAGGATTTCTTCCTAATTTATTCCAGCCGGGAAGTCATTTTCCGATTTTCTATATTTTGTATGCGCTCGGAGCCCTCTCTCTACAAGGCTCTACGCCGCTTTAGATTTCAGGGTTTCCCCAACGTTGGCCCCCTTTAAAGACACGTGGACTTCAACTCCCAGAATTCCCCCAGCCAGCAGAGGAGTTTGAAGTCCACGTGTCTTGAAAGTGGCCACGGTTGGGAAACCTAGCACAGGGGTCTCCCGAACCTGGCAGCTTTAAGACTGGTGGGGGCTTCCAAATTCCCAGAATCCCTCCCGTCAGCGATCCTGGCTGCAGAATTCTGGGAGTTGAAGTCCACAAGTCTTTAAAGCCATTTTGGAGAGCCCTGCTTTAGATGGATTCAAGGGATGTATGCGATAATCTCTATAAAGCGGCACCTGTTGCTGAAAGCTTTATGCCGGGCTATGACTGTAATTAAAAAACAAAACGATGAAGATGAGGATGATAAAACAGATATTCCTACTAAATGATCTGTGGGGGAGGGAGGAATTCTGCCCCCCCCCATTGGAAATCTTTCACCTCCACCTCAATTCTTCCTGCCTGCCCTTTTTAAGGACTTTTAGACCTCAAAAACCAGGTGGAGGGGAAAAGTTTTTAAAATGGCAAGGAGTGTAAAAAGAAAGAATGAGAAAGAAAGAGGAGGCAACACCCTCCTTCATTGAGGTCTGTGAGCAGAAAACAGGATCCCTGTTTCAGAATGTGTAGTTTCACTGAAGTAAAATGACTTTAAAAAAGAGAGAGAAAAAAAATTGGAATATATTTTAAGAGCGTTAATCCTGGATACTTTTATTTTTATAGCTCCTATGTGAGAAGAGTCTCGATGTTATAAAGCAGTTAGTCTCTCATTTTTCTTTCTTTAAAAAAAAACAGATTCTCCCTTGTTTGGGTTTGCACACTGCATTAAACC